CGCCTTCGCAGCCTCAGCTCCCATCAAGCATCCGCCCCCCTCACCTCCCCACCCCCAAGACAATGAATGCAGCAACTTGGAAATGCTCTCCTGGCCACGCCAGGGCCACCTCTCCAGGCTCACTTTCCCATTACAGCCCGTTTCCAGCTCATTCCTGCCTCGAGCTTCCTACCTGTGGCTTAACCCCGTTGGGTGTGGAGGGCAATGCTGAGCCAGGTGCTGACGTGAACTGTTTGGGAAACCTGCCCTACACACCATCCTGGTCGGTCCCAAGGTCCTGTGCTCCTCGTGCTACCATCTATTTTGTCTCCAATGGGAAAAGAGCGTCTGGCACATAGTAGGCTCTCAGTTCATATGTGCTGAGTGGGTGACTATGTGACTGCAGGCCTGCATGAGTAAATGAATGAATGGCCAACTAACTGATTGGATGCCAACCGGATGAGCAATTAATTGGCATAGGATCAGGGGCCAAACCACAGCCCCGCCAGCTGAGTAGGAGAGGACTCTAGAGTCAGTGGATCAGCCTGATGAGTGAGCCTGACCGCTTTGTGCCTCACAGACTATTTGTGTTTCAGGAGGGCTCTGCACTGAAGCTGTCTATGAAAGCTGAATACATCTTCTTGAAGTCCAGAAACCAATTTCTGATGGGCTCTTGGTATGTCACGGGGAGTGGTACATGAGAACCCCAGGTCCTTATGTAAAGAATCAAATGGCTCAAACGTGTGTCACTTCTTACAGATACCATCAGTTTGGTGCACTTGGGGAAGCACATTCCCCCAATCAATGAGGGGCACCCAGCCCTGGGCTAGACGCTGAGAAGACACTGGAGTAGGTGTCACCAGAAGCAGCTGCCATTTGGCTGGGCAGACACAGGAAGCAACCAGAGAACAAGACAGGCATCCTTTGTGCTGAGGTCACAGAGCACAGATACGGGAGCCGGGGGGATCCTGAGCAGGCTCACATCCAGTCAGGACATCTGGAGTGGGACCGAGGGGACGGGTGTGTTATTGTCTGTTTATAATATTTGTGTGTTTAGCACAGGTGATTCTCAAAGCACCCGCTAGTTATCCACCACAGAGATCTGGCCCATCTATCTTTCACAACAGCACTCTGTGGTAGGCCACGAAGCCAAAAGATTTGAAATGGATTATGTGGGAAAAGGAGGGGGGAAAAGAATTAAAAATGAGCCTGGTGCTTTGAACTATTTGAAGCTCAGAAATCAGGAGATGAAGCTGGTTTGAGGGGAAAGATGGGTGAGTTGGCATTGGACTCATTTGAAGAGTCAATAGGACATTTGTGAGGCTTTTTTCTCATTAATCGAAGCTACTTTTCTAAGTCAGACAAAGGAAAAATTGTAAGTCAAAGTATAATTTTAATCAATGTACTCTGAGTGACCCGTTAGGTAGCAGGCTCATCAGATGATGGGCCTGGAGCCAGGTGTCAGATGAGAAGGGGTTAGAGTCAGTAGATTGTAAAGAGGTGAAGGCCCCCAGTAGAGAGAATTCTCTCAAAAAGTTTGGCAGGGAAGGAATGAAAGGGGATGGAGAGCTTTAGGGGAGAGCAGGATTGAGGGAAGACTGGGATTTTGTTTATTTAAGATAGAGCATTGTTCAGCAGGAAAGACACTTCTGTCTGCATATTCAAGTACATAAGAGGAGAAAACTGCACTTTTCTAATAACTACATTAACTTTGGGGCCCAGTCCCCATTCTGCCTGTTGTTATGAAGTTTGGTTTTAGTCAGGTTTTCCTCAGGTAATTCAGAGTTTTCCTTTTGGAGGAACGGGTTGGATGGCATCTGGGCTGTGAAGAGGTCTCTGGCCCCGGGCACTGTGTCCACACTGTGTGGACCTCCTATGCCTGGACTTATGAGCTCATCACACCTCCTCAGACGTGGATGGCCTCCCGAAATCGGTCCGTGAGTGTGGCGTCCACAGCTCTGGTCTCTTGCCCACACTCAAAGCCTCTCCAAGTCTGACTTTTCCTCCTTGACTTTCCCCTGGGGAAATACGGCTATTTGCCCACATCATTCTCTGGAAATCTATGAAATCTCAGGCCTTTCTAACCGGCCACATAACCATTCCTTTCTTGCCATTCCCTTACCATGGTGGCTAAGGGGAACTGTATATTTTGCCAACAAACAAGATGTTTAATATGATGTGAGACAAAGGTTCCCCTAGGTCTCAACTTCTCCAACTTGTTAGTTCAACCTCCACCCCCCAAGCCCTTGGCAATGGGCCTTTTCTCTAAGAAAGGGAATGGAAAAAGTGGGTATGGGACGTTTTCAACTCCATGTAACTGCATAAGGGTGGCCTACGCAGTAAGAACTGCATATTATCTCGTATAACAAGGAACACAAAGGTGGGTGGTCCCATGGTGGGTTTAGCATCTCAACAACATCCTGAAGACTCAGCCTCTCTCCATCTTCCTACTCTGCCATCTGCAATCTGTCAGCAGGTCCCCTTCATGATCACAATAGATTGCTGCAGCACAAAACTTCATGTCCTCACATGACAACATTCCAAAAGTCAGGGAGAGGACATACTTCCTTATCTCTCTGTTTATTAGTGAAGACAATCTTTGTAAAAGCCCTCAGAAGCCTGCTCCATCAATTCTAGCTGCAAGTAAGGCTGGGAAAGCCAGTATCTGTTCTTTTCAGCTTTTATGACATGTAGTGGGTTGTGCCAGCAAGGAAGAAGGGGGTAGGGAAGAGAGTTGGCCTCACTATCAATGTCTGCTTTTACCTTCTCATATCCCCAGTAGAATCTCACCTCATTTCTCTCCTTAATGACCCTTCCTCTCTCCATGGCCCAGGAAATCTATATCTTAAGGAATTGGAAAACTGACTCTTAAAAGATTCTGTATTCTTGCAAATCTTTGTATCTTTTACCTGGTCCTTAGCTTTTAAAATTTAAAAGCCAAGATTTGGGTTCCTATGGTTCTCTTAAATGCCAGGGTCTAGAGTCAGGGAGACCCATAGGGTAAATGAAATTACATAACAGGAATAAAAAATACATGTCAGTATCGAGCTAGCTTGACAGTAGTTCCAAGGGAAGGAGCCATTGGAGGAGAGGATCTAAAGCAGCGGTTCTCAACCTGTGGGTCGCGACCCCTTTGGGGGTCGAACAACCCTTTCACAGGGGTCGCCTAAGACCATCGGAAAACACACATATAATTACATATTGTTTTTGTGATTAATCACTATGCTTTAATTATGTTCCATTTGTAACAATGAAATTGGGGGTCACCACAACATGAGGAACTGTATTAAAGGGTCGAGGCATTAGGAAGGTTGAGAACCACTAAGAGAGGCAGGAATTGGCGTTGGATGAAAGAGTGGCTGGCATCGCCAGCATAGGCAGAGTTTTACCTTAGAGAGAAAGACCCATTTTCATCTCAGAAACTTAAGTTGAGACAAAGGAAGTAATGATGCAAAAGGATTTTGTGGTTGGAAGAGGGAGCTTGAGGGAGCTTAGGCATGCTACGTGGTCCCTGAGTTATCTATAATGTGGGACGTATGCTTAGTTGCTAAGGAAGGAAGCAGAGATGAGGTTGAGGACTTAGGACAGCAGGAAAGGTTTACTTGCTGGGAAAGCAGGTAAATGGAAGAAGATGGGACTTGAACCAAGGCCAAAATAAGGAGGGGTTCCAAGTCACTGTATCCTCGCCCACAGCCAGCAGGAGGGCTGAGGGTGGGGGTAGTTGGAGGGATAAATGAAGCCACAGCAGGAGTAAGGAGGGCCTGGGGGGATAAAGATAGGTCCAGGGCCTATACACCCTAAGGATGGTAAGTAGGAAGACAGGTTCAAATTGGGGAACGTTAGCTTTGGAGTGTACACAGGAGAAAGGACAGGACTAGCAATCTATATATATAAAAGCCTAAGTGACCGGTCAACCATTCAAGCAGTCGACCGATCGACCAGTCGCTATGACGTGCACTGACCACCAGGGGGCAGACGCTCAATGCAGGAGCTGCCCCCTGGTGGTCAGTGCGCTCCCACAGCGGGAACACCGCTCAGCGAGCTTACCAAGCAGCAGCAGTGGCAGGCGCAGTGGGGCCAGGATGAGCAGGAACGGTGTGGCACCCAGCTTAGGCTCGGGCTCCTCCCCGGCCGCCTGCTGCTTCGCACACTACTACATCCCTCGGGGTCTCGGATTGTGAGAGGGCGCAGGACAGGCTGAGGGACCCCACCAGTGCATGAATCTGTGCAACGGGCCTCTAATTGATTATAAAATGTTTTAGCTAAGGTACAAATTGATGGTCAGCAGATGGGAACCATCCCCTACCCCCTTCCCTAATTGCCAGTTTATAGTCATGGGAATATAAAGCATAGCATGGGAAATATAGTCAATACTATTAGAATAACTATGTATGGTGTCGGATGGGTTCTAGACTTTTGGGGTGATCGCTTCTTAAGTTACATAAATAGCTAATCGCTATGTTGTACACCTGGAACTAATACAATATTGTATGTCAACTGTAATTGAAAATAAAATTTTTAAAAATAATTTTAAATAAAATAAAGTGTTTTAGGTAAGGTAATTTATGATTATTGCAAGGCTCTTCTGACTTATTATTTGCCATAATTGTGATTCAGATGTCACCATCTACATTACTTGAGTTTATTTCCAGTGTAAGACAGGACATTATTGCTGATACACACTGCATGGAAATTGCCATATATGCTCTC